CTCACCTATTTTGGTCATGTTGTCAGAAGGGACCATTCCCTGGAGAAGGATGTCCATGTTTGGTAGGTTGGAGGGTTGACGAAAGAGGGGGAGGCCTTCAACAAGATGGATTGACATGGTGGCTGCGATGATGGGCTCAAGTATAGCAGGGATCATGGAGCTGGTGTGGGATCGGACAGTGTTTCGTTCTGTTGTGCATGGGGTCGCTCTGAGTCGGAAATGACTCGACGGCATCTAACAACAACAACAACTGCTATCGAGTCAATTCCGACTCATAGTAACGCCTTTTGTGTTTCTGAGGCGGTAAATCTTTATGGAAGTAGATTGCCCAGTTTTGCTTCCATGGAGTGGCTGGTGAGTTTGAACCACCAGCCTTCTGGTTAGCAGTCAGATGCCTTATTCACTGTGCTACAGAGCTCCTTGGATGTTGTTAAGGAGCCACGTATTTGTCTCCACTTTTCCCCAATCTCTTGTATACTTCTGTGATGAGAGTCTCGATCACCATATAGATGAATAATAATACAAATGACCTTTGTAGCCTGAGAATCAAACAGGAAGTTACTAATTTGGATTTTCTCATAACGTGACTCTCAGTCTTCTTTGGTAAAATTATCTTCCTGTGTTTCTAAATGGATTAATCTTTCTAAATGTAATGCTAGCTGTTGTAACAAACAACCTCACAGTCTGAGGGACTCAACATAATGCAGGCTTATTTCTAGCTCATATGGTGCAGGATGGGGCAGTGGAGGCTCGTCAGCAAAGCATTCTCTTCCACACAGTGATGCAGGGACCCTAAACTCTTTCTATTTCACATTTTTTCTCTGGCTCCTCTGCATTTGGCTGTAGGCAAGAGATGAAAAGAGGACACTTCTGTAGGAGGTGTTATGGACAGGGCTATTGGGGACCTACTTCATTTCTACCCAGATTCCAGTGAGTGGTAGTCAGTTATGTGGCTGTACCCCAACTATAAGCAGCCTGGGCTATATAGTATGCATGCCCAGGAGGAAAAAATAATAGGACTGACAAACAAGTGACATTGCTACAGCCATACTGGAACCCTCAGATGACACAAGCTGGATTTTGCAAGTGAATTTTCAAGTCTTATATAGGTCTGGGGCTGCAGAGAGGAGGCACAGTGTGGACATCGATAGCATGACCTCAAACCAAACTGCTGGTATTGAAATCCCAGCTCTCCCATTCACCAGATGATGACATTGGGCAAGTAATTTATTCTTTTTTTTTTTTGTGCTTCAGCTTCCTTATCTGTAAAATGGGGATAACAGAGGAACTTACAGGGTTCTTGTGAGAATCAAAAGATAGAATGTGTAAAATGTTTAGAGCAGTGCTGTAAACATAATTGACACCATGTAAGTGTTTGTTAAATCAATTTAAAAAAATGAGACAAGTAACAGATTCAATTTCCTCCTTGGTATGTTGTAAATTAGAATATGTTGCCATTCAGATGGAGAATATTTCTTTCAGTTCAAGTATAAACCTATTGATTGTAACGTGCAAGGTTTCTACTGTGAAATCTGAATAGGTCAGGCTCCTGCTGAAGCAAAGGAAACCACATTTTCCCCACTCAATTTGTCTTTAAACTCTGTCTCTCAGTCCATGGCCACCATCTTGGTTCCTGCTCCCCAATCCATGCCTCTTTCTGGGCTCCTCAGACAGGAAAGTAGCACCAACAGGGCTCCTTCTTCCCTCCATCCGTGTCCACTGGTATGAATTTTCATAAATGGCTCAAAGAATGGGGAAACAATGAAACTTTTTCAGTGTTAGTACTGTGTAGCTGTGTGACTCTAGTGTGCAACTGTGGGTTCCTGGGCTTCCCATTTTAACAGTTTATGGTCATTGTTCATGCCAGGTAACAGATGTCATATATCTGCCCAGTCTGAATGCAGTTTGCTCCCAATCTTCTGCACCAACAGACTACTACTTTCAGTTATGATCCAAATTTCAGAACAATGTTTGCTTTTAAGAAACACAAGAGGGTCACTGATTTGTGCCTATAAAATCCCCTTCTCAGGACCTGGCTGGGCTAAACAGGGCTCTTTTTCTTGCAGCTCGATGACTGCACACTGCAGCTCTCCCACAATGGCGCCTACCTGGATTTGGAAGCGACGCTGGCAGAGCAGCGGGACGAGTTAGAAGGCTTCCAGGATGATGCTGGGTAAGAGCAGCAGTCGACCCTGCAGACCGGTTCCCACATCCCCAGAAATGGGCATCTGTGAAGCCTTAACATAGTATACACAATAACCATAGCTCTTACCGTCTCTTCACTCAGTCACACAGAGAGGAGATGCCAATGACTGCTAGTATTGACTGCAAACCCTTTTTCATTTTGAGTGACTTCTCTTGACAAAGCTACTGGGATGTGACTTGCTCTGGGAAAATTTCTGGAATAGTTTAATCCAGCACATGACATTGACATTCTATGCTTTTTTTTTTTTTTTTAAACTATATATCATCATTAAATTGACATTTCTAAGATTTTAGTGATTTGCAACTATTTTAAACATTGTTTTCAGTGATAATTTACTGGATATTTAGTTTCCTTGGCTGATGCCCTAATGTGTATAACCTTTTAAGCTCTTTATAGTGGAGAAAATAATTATTAATCAGGTTAATTAACAGCATGCTATTTTTAGTCTCCATCCAGAATGACTTCATACTTCTTTTTGCTATGAGTCTAAAGAGAGCAGTGCACATATAAAAAGTCAGAGATGCATGCAGGGTGGAATCTCCATATGAATATACCTGTGCCATCAGCCATTTCTCAATATTCAGTAGACGATTGAAACAGCCATCTGTGGGACCCCTGCTTCCCTTTCTACCTTTCCTCCATCTAGAACCAAGCATATCTCTAATCTCATCACCCTGCCCTTAGAAACCTTCAGAGGCCCCTGTTGCTTTCCAGATCATGCACAACTATTTTAATCTGGGGTTTCGGGAGTTCTAGAAGGTGTTTGAAACTGCCTTGCAGCAATGAAAAAATATTACAGCCAACTGAATAGTATCTGAGAGTACTGAATTTTCATGAATGGCTCAAAGAATGGGGAAACAATGAAACTTTTTAAGGGTTCGTTCCCTGTAGCTCCCTAACTCTGGTGTGCAGCTGAGGGTTCCTGGGCTCCCCATTTTAACAGTTTAAGGTCATTGTTCATGTAATTGTCCCTCTCTACTGCTGCTGAAGCTCCACTAGGTCTGAATGCCTTGTACCTAGCATTTTCTCACTACTTAGTGAGAGTTGGCAGCCAGGTGAATAGCGGGATCCCAGAATGGATTCCTATGTGATGTGACTGTGACCACAGAGAAGACCAGGATCTTTGGTAGGAACCAGCAGGATTCTTCAATGAGGCCCTTCCTGTCTCTAGAGTGGTTGTGAAGGCCACACCAAATGTGTGAGAAAGACTCTGGAAGCCACCCTAAGCTATACACACATGAGGAGTGGTGTTATAAAGTCATACCAGATTCAGCTCATCATTTCTTTTTTTTAAATTAACGTTTTTAGACTTACAGATTTAAAACAGCTATTGCTGTTGTTTTTATCAAGTGTTTGACAGGGACATTCCTTTTGTACAAGATGTCAAAATGCAGGCTGGATGACAGTCTAATTGGATGACTTTATGGTTCATTGATCAAACAGACCCCAGGAGTGTTAGGAGTAGATCATTGTCAACTTGAAAAATGTGTCTGGTGGTATGCTTGATGACCTTGTCCTGTTTGACTTTTTTTTTTTTTTTTTTCCTTACAAAACCTTGAATGATTTGGAGATGGCAACTTAGGGGAGAAAAAAAAGCTAGTATACTAGATAACTGTATTAAGAGAAAGGGTGGAGAAGAAAAAATACTCATGGAGACCTACTATTCCAAGCATAATGCCAAGTACCTTATTCATGGTACTTGCTTAATGGTTAATTCTTGTAACAGTTATGTGATTGGATATTATTGTCACCATTTTTTGAGACAACTGAAGTTTAGGAGTTAATTCAGCAGGACAGAACCAGTAAATGATAGCTCCAGGGTTTGAACACAGGTGTGACTGGTTCCCAAGCCTGCATTCCTCCACTGTCCCAGCCAACTCAGAGTCTCTGGGCAAAAGTACAGTAGCTTGGTTCTTCTTAGTGTGTATATTTCACCTTGATGATTTGAAGTTGTTTCATGCAAAGACATCAGTTGCAGGCTATAGCACTGCTCCTTGTTGAAACAGCACCTACTCATACTTTAGAGAGGCTCCAAGGAAGGTGCCATTGCTACCACCATTTGGCACTGATTACAGCTCACACTGGCCAATATCAGTATCCAAATGCTGGAAGCTTCTTTACAGCTGTGTCTAAGAAGTCCGGGGATTCTGCTGCAAGCTCTCCATGGTAGATTCTGGTGTTTCCTTCGTTTCCTTCTGAATCATCATATTGCCATGGATCTGTCTGATAGCTGAAGCCAAGGTCACATTTCTGCATCCCAACAGCAAGAGATGCTGGGAAAATGAATTATGGCAACACTGAGAGGGTGGAGCTCAAGATGTAGGAAATGGCAAACAGAGGTAGGTAGTCTAAAAGATGATGAGTAGCTTCACATTTGACTGTGTGTCCCAGACTCACCCCGGAGTGGAGTCTTATGTCTTTGAAATAGCCCTTGTGTATGGTGACCTTGTCCTTTGGAGTGCTACTCAGGATGACACCCTCTTCTTTTTCCTGAAGAGTATGAAGGAGCCACCTTGACTGATCTCCTAGTGAGGAGATCTGTCTACCTCTTTTGGTCTTGCTTTTAGAAGACATGCTAGGTTGATACTGTCATGGCACTGCCAGGTCAATCCAGGTATCTCTAGTTTTTACTTACAACCACGGAGCACAGAAAGCATGCAGGTAAGTTACCTGGAACTGACTATGTAACAAGCCTTGAGGCTTAGGCTTCCCCTGTGCACTAAACCAAACCCACCGCCATCCAGTCGATTCTGTAGGACAGAGTAGAACTACCCCACAGGGTTTCCAAGGCTGTAAATCTTTATGGAGCAGACTGCCCCATCTTTCTCCTGTGGAGCAGCTGGTGAGTTCAAACTGCTGAACTTTTTGGTGCATGGCTGAATGCTTTAACCACTGCACCACCAGAACTCCTCTTCCCATGCAGGTAGGGCTGTATTCTGGGCACATCTGCATTACCACTTTCATGGAGGATCCCTCTTCACCCCTTTCCTAGAAATGTGGTATCTGGGAAAGACTATGCCTAAGGCATTTGACTGCTAACCAGAAAGCTGGTGGTTTAAACCCACCAGCCACTCCTTGGAAGGAAGACTGGGCACTCTATTTCCATAGAGATACTGCCTCAGAAACCCGAGGAAGGGTCATTATGAGTCAAATCAACTCGAGGGCAGTGAGTTTGGTTTTTTATTATTTTTTTAAGTGTGTCTGAGCACTTATGTCTCCTAAAAATGGGAGTTAAAATCTTTTTCCTAGTTAAGAATTGCCTTTTTGAGACATGAAAAAGACAAAAACCATTTATAAATCTTTCTCTTGATTTCTTTGTGTAAATGATACCAAAATACCTGGTAATCTTGTGACCATCCAATGTATGGCAGGCTGTGTGTAAATAATGTTTTTTTTTTTTTTTGTGTGTGTGTGTGTGTGTGTGTATAGTGTATTCTGGGTAAGTTTTCCTTGCTGGAGGAGTTTGTTTCTTTGTTCTTGTCCATTCCCTTCTCCTTTATACCAAAACTAAAAATTAACCACTAGTTGTTTGGAATTATCGCTCAAGCTATGGCTAATCAGAGAAGAGGAGAAAGACCTTCAACAGTGGAAGGACAAGGTAATTATTTTGCTAGCAAAATTGAGCTAGGTCTGTTCATTGCCTTTGAAGGCCAGGGAAATTAGCAGCCATAGCATGATACAGTAGAAACAGAAGCCTGGAAGCCTTTGTATTATTATTTCTGACCCTGCTATTGTGTGACCTTTGGAAAGCCACTCTACCTCTGGTAGGAATTGCATGTCTCAAATGAGGACAATATTGCCCATGCTCATTGCCCTCCTAGGTGTTCTGACAGGGTCCCTGACACCCAAAGAGAGCTGAGCAGAGAGCAACATAGCAAAGTGGTTGCAAACATTTGCAGTTAGACCATGACTGTGTGTGAGGCAAAGAACTTGGTTTGGCCCTTTGACTCTGTTTTTTGAAAATAACCTGAGCACTCAAAGCAAAAGCAAAGCCTTTGTTTCCCAAAATAGCTGGGTAAGTAGGGGCTACACAGGCCTCACACCTGGCAAACCAACCTTGGGAAGGAAGGGGGCGTAATACAGTCATGCATGTTCATTGAAGTCTCAATGACTGGGGAACCCAGGCTCTTGGAGCACTCTCCTTGGTGACTCATGGATCTGTGAGAACATCCATGCATGAGAGAGGGAGCTGCATATCCCTGAGGACAATGGAGACCCAATGGCGGGAACTCTCAGACCTTGTCTAATGCATCTCTGTGTTTGTATCCTTTCTGTTACAATAAGTGGGTAACTGTGAGGATAGGCAACAGTTTCTGTGAGTCACTCTAGTGAGTTATTGAATGTAGTGGGGGCAGTGAGAACCAGGAGAGAGGCTAGCATTTGCCTATTTGGCAGGATCTGGAAGGACAGAGTCCTAAGTTATGGAGACCCAACTCTGGGTAGTATATACAGTTAATGTGATTGGCTACTAACTGAAGGGTTGGAGGTTCGAGTCCCCAACCAAAAAACCAAACTCACTGCCGTCGAGTTGTTTCCAACTCATAGCAACCCCTCCTTGGGTTTCCAATGTGTTATCTCTATGGAAGTAGATTGCCAGTCTTCCTTCCAAGGAGTGGCTGGTGGGTTTGAACCACCAGCCTTCTGTTTAACAGTCAAACGGCTTGGGCACCACACCACCAGAGCTCCCATAAACCAAAAACCAAATTCACTGCCGTGGAGTTGGTCCTGACTCCTAGCAACTCCTCCTTGGGTTTCTGAGGCAGTATCTCTATGGAAGTAGATTACCCAATCTTCCTTCCGAGGAGTGGCTGATGGGTTGGAACCTCCAGACTTCTGGTTAGCAGTGAAATGCTTTAGGCACTACGCCACCAGAGCTCCTTCAAGTCCACCCAGAGGTCCTTAAAAGAAAGGCCTGGTAACCTACTTACAAACATCAGCTGTGGAACACCCTATGGAGCCTAGTTCTA